GAAGGCCTGAACAACAATCTGAAGAATGTCCTGCATCTCAGCTGGGTTTTCACCAAAGATGTTGATCAGTGTCAGCTTTCCAAGACCAACAACAAATGTGGCCAGTTCATTGTCATGATGTCTTGTTGATCTTCCAGCCAGTTCTAGAGCACGAAGTCCCTCGGTATCAACAACCAGAAAATAGTCAAATTGCATCAGTGTTTTCATCTCGTCTGAGACTCTGATCAGCTGCATGAAAGCTCCTCTGGTGCACCGGCCAGCACTGACCGCAAACTGAAGTCCAAACATAGCATTAAGCATGGTGGATTTCCCAGAGCTCTGGATCCCTAAAACTGACAGCACAAAGACACTCTGGTCTCCCAGTTTCTTGATGAGTTGATCTAGAACAGCAGAGATCCAGATCACAGGAACATGAGCAGCATCTCCATCCATCAGCTCCAGTGGAAATCCAGAGATCATCATCTGTGCTGCAAAACTAGGGAGAGAAGAGAAGTCTTTCAGGTCTTTCTTGTTCTTCTTCTTCACAGATGAACATGATTCATAGATCTGACCGATCTCCCTCATGATGTGCTCCAAACCAAAGGCTGCAGCTTGAAGATCCTCGGATATTCTCTCAAGTTCTGTTTGTTCAGCTTTGAGTTGTTCAGATTTATTATGACTCTCTTTCAGTTTTACAACTGCTGACCACTTTTCATCATATTTGTGATGTAGAGCAGAAAGATCAGCTGATGTATGCTCATCCAGAAGGATTCTGAGCCATTTAAGGAAAAATGTATTTTTTGCAGCATGCGAGTTAATTTCTTTAATAAAGAGTTTCATAAACTTACTGATGTCAGACTCATGCTGCCATTGACGGATTTCATTCATTTCTGTTTGTTTTCTACTGATGTCCATTTCTATCTCATCTCCTCGAAGTCTATGTAGTTCTTTGTTCTTCTGACACCACTGATGCCACAGTTTCCCCTGATGAGGCAGAAATGATTCTTTGACTTTTGTCAGATCTTTCTTCTCTAGTAAACTCATCATCTGCTGTGCTGCTTCTCTTCCTCTCATGCAGTCTTCATCATCTGCCTCATCTACTCTTATGTCTGAATGCTTGGACACATCTTCAAGTCTGAAAGTATAAGATGAGTCCGAGAGACAATCATTTATAACTCTTCTGAGTTCTTCAGAAACGATGGACTGATTTCTATTTTTCAGACCGATTTTGAATTTCACTTTCTTTATCTCAATCACAGCTGATTCATCCTCCGTAAGAACACAAATGAGTGGCTTTCCATTTCTGAACAGGTTCTGGATATTTGCTGCATTTCTGTCATTCCTGTCCAGTTGTGGTAGAAGCACAACATTGACTGAGCTCATTTCAGTGAGGATCTGCAACTGTTTCTCATGGTCTCCTGCATCACCGTGTAGATTACAGAACGCAACACAGTCAGTGAATTTATCATCATTTTTCCCAGAGGGGCAGAACCAGGCGATCTCCACCACTCCATCCATCAGGACTCTGGTTCTGCTGCTGCCTGGGCAGTTCCTGTGGAAGAACGTGTTGTGTTTCTCATTGATCAGACTGTTCATCAGCTGAGACTTGGATGAAGACACAGAGCCAAACCTGAAGAAAAACACCATTGGAGTTTCTGCCTTGTAGATCGACAGGGTTTTACTGATGATCTCATTGTTGGTGTTTCTCTTCCAGCTCTTATTGATTTGTCTGAATGTCCAGAGAGGAAACTCAATCTGATGTTTGAATGGATCAGCAACAAGCAGAGGCAGAGCGTACTGACACTGGGACAGTTTAGTGACCATCAGCTGCTTCAGGAAACCATCAGCACAATGAAACACAGCCATCTGAACATCCATCGGGTCAATTCCCTCAGATTGGCTTGATCCTTTGTTTGACAATGGTATGTTTTCTACAACATCAAAAATATCACTCTCATTATCAGATGACATATTGTCTTTTCCTTTTGCCTTATTCTGTACATTGGTCTCTTTCGTTGTAATGTATCTTGCTCTGTAGTTCATCATCAGTAGTTTTTGCATGAAAGTCTGAACCAGCTCATCTTCAGCACAAGACTCTTTACGGGATAAATGTTTATTTATCTGAAGAACATCTGCAGTTTTCAGTTTGTTGCGCCTGCCGTCAAGATGAAGTCTTTTGAATGTACTTTTTTTTATAGTCTCTTCCTGTTGTCGGCATCGATTTCTTTTGGCTCCTGTTTGTCTAAACTCCTTGGTTTTAACCTGTTGAATAAAAAAATAGGTTTATTGTCATTTAATTTGTTTTTAAAGATCAATACTGTCATTCTACTTCATTTTTTTTCTGATAAATTTGGATAATACAAAGATATTACAGGACCAAAAATCTGTTCACAGAAGCTCTTACAATACAAGTTGTATCTAGAAGATTGTACTGTTTCCTTTCAGTCGGTCACTCCGAGTCACGTCAGTGATTGACGAATTGGGATCTCGCTTAGAGAGACCAATCCACTTCGAGTGTAAACTAAACGAGCCAATGCACATTGGCATGCGATGATTGCATCCAGCTGCCGC